GTCTGTAATCCCAGAACTTTGGGAGGCCAAGGTGAGTGGACCATGCAGTCAGGAAATCAAGACCATCCTGGCCAACATGGTGAAACACCATCTCTACTAAAATACAAAAAACTAGCTGGGCATTGTGGCACATGCCTGTAGTTTCAGCTACTTGGGAGGCTGAGGCAGGGGAATTGCTTGAACTTGGAGGTGGAGGTTGCAGTAAGCCGAGATCATGCCACTGCACTTCAGCCTGGTGACAGAGACTCCATCTAAAAAAAAGAGGATTTGATTCCACACATTCAGTTCATTCCATGAATATTTACTGAGTGTTTACCCTGTGCCCAGCACTCTACAGGTATTAGATAAATATTAGTGAACAAAACTGACATCTGTCTACTGTTTGCAACCTCACTCTATATTCAGCTATTATTTTAAATTTATAACCCAAGATCATCAAAGAACACTGAAATTTCATAGCAATGTGAAACTTTCAAATATATGCCCTTAAAAAGTAAGGGACCAGGCCAGGGACCATGGCTTATGCCTATAATCCCAACACCTTGGGAGGCCAAGGCAGAAGGGTTGCTTGAGCCCAGGAGTTCAAGACCAGCTTGGGCAACAAAGTGAGACGCTGTCTCTATAAAAAATTCAAAAATTAGCCAAGCCTGGTGGCATGTCCCTGTGGTCCCAGCTACATGGAAGGCTGAGGCAGGAGGATCACTTCAGTCCAGGAGGTCAAGGCTGCAGTGAGCTGTGTTCACACCACTGGGCTCCAGCCTGAGAGACAGAGTGAAATACTGTGTCAAAAAAAAAGAAAAGTAAAGGGCCAAAGATATCTATTAGATGTTAGTGATGAAATAAATTTTAAAATAGTCATAATATAATGCTGCTCTGCTGTGCCTTAAATTTCATTTTATTATTTATCATTATTATTATTTTGAGACAGAGGTTTGCTCTTGTTGCCCAGGCTGGAATGCAGTGGTGCTCACTGCAACCTCCACCTCCCAGGTTCAAGTAATTCTCCTGCCTCAGCCTCCTTAGTAGCTGGGATTACGGGCATGTGCCACCACACCCTCCTAATGTTTTGTATTTTTAGTAGAGTCAGAGTTTCACCATGTTGGCCAGAATGATCTTGAACTCCTGACAATTGATCCACCCGCCTCGGTTCCCCAGAGTGCTGGGATTACAGGCATGAGGAACCATGCTGGGCTGCTGTGCATTAAATTTCATGAAATGTTATATAGTTTCCAATTGCTGCTATAACAAATTACCATAAACTTGGTGACTTAAGTTTGTTACCTTACAATTCTGGAGGTCAGAAGTCCAAAATGAGTTTAACTGGGCTAAAATCAAGGTGTCATCAGACTATGTTTCTTCCGGTGTCTCCACAAGATGATCTGAAAGTTTCCTTACATTTCCTAGCTTCTAGAGGTTACTTGCATTCCTTGGCTCAGGGCTCTATTCCTCCTTCTTCAAAGTAAAGCACCACTTGGTTACCTGTGATAATGTTATGGAATGATTTTTATTTTCTCCTTTTTAGCATTTCTGATGGTGCATGTATTACTTTTACAGCATGAAAAAAGAAAATAACAAGAAGCCTCTATTCAGAAAATAGTTTAGAATTCTGTGCCAGTCGACATAGTACACATAGTACAGATGAGCAGCAATCCAGGCTTTCTGCTTGGAACTAGATCATGACCAATTTTGTAACCTGGGTAATAATCTGAGCTTGATCTGATGAGTAGTGAAGAATAGTGGAGTTTTTTAAAGCATTAGGTTACCAGATTTGTAATTTAAAAAGAAGCTGCAATGATAGATTGTATTAAAATAAGCTTTACTACTACTTTGTAATCACCCCATTTAGATTTGCAAAGTATAAGTTAGTTGTCTCTCTTGTTAGTTTAGCCCATTTCTTTATACCATCAGCACTGATATTCAATTTTTTTTTTTGAGATGGAGTTTCCCTCTTGTTACCCAGGCTGGAGTGCAATGGCGCAATCTCGGCTCACCGCAATCTCCACCTCCTGGGTTCAGGCAATTCTCCTGCCTCAGCCTCCTGAGTAGCTGGGATTACAGCCACACGCCACCATGCCCAGCTAATTTTTTGTATCTTTAGTAGAGACGGGGTTGCACCATGTTGACCTGGATGGTCTCGATCTCTTGACCTCGTGATCCACCCACCTAGGCCTCCCAAAGTGCTGGGATTACAGGCTTGAGCCACCGCGCCCGGCCGATATTCAATGTTTAAATCATTTTCTTGGCAGCCTTTTTATTTTATTTATTTATTTTTCGAGATGGGGTCTCAATGTGTTGTCCAGGCTGGTCTCAAACTGTGGGGCTCAAGCAATTGTCCTGTCTCAGCCTCTTGAGTAGCTGAGACTCCAGGCATGCCCAGCTAATGCACTTTTTTATGCTATGAAGATGAAACATTTATTTTAGACTCTCATGGATAAATGACTGCATTGTTCATTTTTGGCTTATGACATAAACACAGATGACAAAGGAGATCTGGTTGGTAATATAACACTGCTATTTCCAGTGAACCAGATTTTTTCAGTGGAAAATTGAGATGGGAAAAATTTCAGCAAACTTCCATTATTTGTTAGTCCTCAACACACCATCATAAGATATAGTATCTTCTTCACGTTTGGCTAGGGTAAAACCATAGTACTTCAGTAAGTTTGATTCTGATGGACAGAAGCTAGGGAACAGATTTTCAGCAATACTGTCCTAGGGATCAGCAGAAGTAGCTAGGGGAGGAGCTCATTGTATGGGAATTCTCCCTCCATCTCTACCCTGACACGTGGACCACCAAGGGAAAACTCCTCATTTATCTATTTTATAGTAAGTATTTATTAGGTTTACTGTGAGATTAATTTGAAAGAAAAGATTCTTAGTTTAAAATTTTGGAACACACTATACTAGTCCTTTTGTTTTGTTTTGTTTTCAGAGATGAGGGTGTTGCTATGCTGCCCAGGTTGGTCTTGAACTCCTGAGCTCAGGTAAACCTCCCGCCTTGGCCTCCCAAAGTGCTGGGATTACAAGTGTGACACCATGCCCAGACATGATGGCATTAGAAGCTAAAACTCTATGCTCAGTTTATTATGAAATAATGGGTAGGCCGCTTGTCTAGCTTAGCTTTTAGTTTATCCCCTTTGTTTTGTAATAGGTCCAGCTTCCTGGGCAGATAACAATTTAAAAGTTGGTTTCAAGAACACATTAGGTATTGCAAATATTTAGGGACTAAAGAAAAGTAAACAGAATTCCCTAACAATTATCACCCCATGTGAAAAAAAACAGTGTATTTCAGAAATACAAAATATTGTACGTATTTCAGCTGGGCACGGGTGAGGCCAAGGCAGGCTGATCACGTGAGGTCAGAAGTTTGAGACCAGCCTGGTCAATATGGTAAAACCCCATCTCCACTAAAAATACAAAAAGGCTGGGCACAGTGGTTCCACATCTGCAATCCCAGCACTTTGGGAGGCTGAGGTGGGTGGATCACCTGAGGTCAGGTGTTACAGACCAATCAGACCAACATGGTGAAACCCTGTCTCTACTAAAACACAAAGATTAGCCAGGAGTAGTGGTGGATGCCTGTAATCCCAGCTACTTGGGAGGCAGAGGCCCAAGAATCTCTTGAACCTGGGAGGCAGAGGTTGCAGTGAGTGGATGTAGCACCACTGTACTCTGGCCTGGGTGACAGAGTGAGACTGACTCAAAAAAAAAAAAAAAAAAGATCAGTGCACAGGCACCGAGTATAGTTGCATATTACATATGCTCTATTTATCTGCTGGCTTACCTCCTTGATGTGGGCCAGAAGCTGCTGTACCTCCCCACTGCCCACTTCAGCTTCTCTGGGCCAGGTGCATGTTTAGTCTCATAATGAGGGGTGCCAGCTTCTGCAGGACACCCACATCATCAAAGTTGGAGGTTGTGAGACTGAACAACAGATTTGTCTCCCAGTGGATTCCAGCTTGTGTTTGTGATTTTCAATTGTTTGTTGCTAGAGCAAATAACAACTGAGCCCCCTATTTTGAATGATTCTCTCAGGGGTAGATTTATTATTTATTATGTTGGACCACCTCCATCATGGAAGGGGCAGCACTTTGTTCTCACTGGAATAGATACTCTATATAGGGATTTTCTTTCCCTGCACATAGAGCTTACGCCAAAACTACCATCCACAAAGTTACAGAGTGACTTCTCCACAATCATGGTATTCCACATAGCATCACTTCTGATGCAGGAAGTCTTTTCATTAGTTGTTTTGTGTTTTGTTTTGAGACAGTCTCACTCTGTTTCCCAGGCTGGAGTGCAGCGGTGCCATCTCGGCTCACTGCAACCTCCACATCCCGGGTTCAAGTGATTCTCCTGCCTTACCCTCCCGAGTAGCTGGGATTACAGGTGCACACCACCATACCCAGCTAATTTTTTGTATTTTTAGTAAAGACGGGGTTTAACCATGTTGGCCAGGCTGGTCTTGAACTCCTGACCTCAAGTAATCTGACCACCTTGGACTCTCAAAATGCTGAGATTACAGGTGCGATCCACTACGCCCAGCCTAAGAAGTCTTTGTATGGAAATGAAATACAGCAATGGAACTATGCTTATATTAATAAAATTCACCAGTCTCACCCTGTCCCCCTCATCCTAAAGCCACTGACCTGAAGGAATGATGGAATGGCTATTTTTTTTTTTTTGAGACAAGTCTTGCTCTGTCACCCAGGCTGGAGTGCAGTGGCATGATCTCGGCTCACTGCAACCTCTGCCTCCCAGGTTCGAGTGATTTTCCTGCCTCAGCCTCCTGAGTAGCTGGGATTACAGGCATGCGTCATGTATGGCTTAGAGAGGGGTTTCACCATATTGGCCATGCTGGGCTCAAACTACTGACCTCAGGTGATCCACCTGCCTTAGCTTCCCAAAATGCTGGGGTACAGGCATGAGCCACTGTGCCCAGCCTAGAATGGCTTTTTGAAGACTAATTTATGGCACCAGCTAAGTAGCATACGGCATACCTTGTGAGGCCTAGGCGATGTCCTCCAGGATATAGTATATGCTCTAAACCAGAAAATAACATAGGTCAGATGCAGTGGTTCAGCCCAATACTTTGAGAGGCCAAGGTGGGAGGATCGCTTGAGGTTGGGAGTTCCGGATCAGCCTGGGCAACATAGCAAGACCGTTTCTACAAACAAACAAAAAATTGAAAAGAAAGTAACATAAGTGGTGCTCTTTCTTCTAAAGCCAAGATTCATGGGTCTGGGAATTAAGGTGGTGGTGAGATTGAACATGGCTCCTCTCATTATTATTCTTAGTGATCTTCTAGGAAACTTTTTTGCTTCCTATCCCTGAGACTTCGAGTTCTGCTAACTTAGAGGACTTAGTTCCCAAAGTAGGATGCTTCCACTAGAGGACAAAACAATGGTTCCATGAAGCTGGAAGTTGAGACTGCCACATGATCACTTTGGGATCATCATGCCAATGAATCAACAGACAAAATAGAGGGTAACTGTTCTGACTACCCAGAGTGATTGGTTCTGACTAACAGGGAAAACTGGGTTGCTTCTACATAATGGTTATAAGGAAAAGTATGTCTGGAATGTAGTTGATCCCTGGAGTGCTGTTAATAATCCCATGTCCTGTGATTAAAGTCAAGGGAGAAACCATAACAACCCAATTCAAAGGGGACTGCTAATGATACAGACCCTTCAGAAATGAAGATTTGGGATACCCAGTCAAGGAACCATGACCAGATGAGGTGCTTGCTATGGGTAAAGGGACTAGGAATGGATAGTAGTCATAAGTACCTGCTATGACCAGGTGACCATAAGTAAAAATAAAGACTATAATAGTTATCATTATTGTTTGTTTGTTTTGTTTTGAAACAGGGTCTTGCTCTGTTGCCCAGGCTGGAGTGCAGTGGTACAATCTCAGCTCACTGCAACTTCTGCCTCTAGGCTTAAGTCATCCTCCCTCCTCAGCCTCCCGAGTAGCTGGGACCACAGGTGTGTGCCACCATACTTGGCTAGTTTTTTGTATTTTTGGTAGAGACAGTGTTTCCCCATGCTGCGTAGGCTGGTCCTGAACTCCTGACCTCAAGGTATCCTCCTCCCTGGCCTCCCAAAATGCTGGGATTACAGGCATGAGCAACTGTGCCTGGACTACTTATCAGATAAACTGAGAATATTGTTCTAGCCACATTAGTAATTACACAAACCTCTGAATGCTTTATAGAGTTTACCTACTACTGGAATTATTCTGCAATTTTAATTTCCAAAACAAAAATAATTTTTTAAAGTCAATTTTTTAAATTAGTTTAAGTACATTACATAATATTAAAATGAACCAACTAAATATTGTCCACTAGAGGTTTTAATATTTCACATGTTCAAAAATTAGTCCATTGGCCAGGAACAGTGGCTCATGCCTGTAATCCCAGCACTTTGGGGGGCCCAGGCGGGTAGATTGCTTAAGTCCAGGAGTTCGAGACCAGCCTCAGCTACTTAGTAAAACCTCATCTCTATGAAAAAAAAAAAGAAAGAAAAAAGTTAGCTAAGAGTGGTGTTGTGAGCCTATAGTCCCAGCTACTTGGGAGGCTAAGGCAGGAGAATTGCTTGAACCCCGGAGGTGGAGGTTGCAGTGAATAGAGATTGCACCTGCACTCCAGCCTGGGTGACAAGTGTGAAACTGCATTGCAAGAAAAAAAAAGAGGCTGGGCTGGGCACGGTGGCTCATGCCTGTAATCCCAGCAGTTTGGGAGGCTGAGGTGGGAGGATCACGAAGTCGGGAGTTTGAGACCAGCCTGACCAACATGGAGAAACTTAATCTCTACTAAAAATACAAAAATTAGACAGGCATGGTGGTGGTTGCCTGTAATCCCAGCTACTCAGGAGGCTGAGGCAGGAGAATTGCTTGAACCTGGGAGGCGGAGGTTGCAGTGAGCCAAGGTTGTGCCACTGCACTCCAGCCTGGGCAACAGAGTGAGACTCCATCTAAAAAAAACAAAATAGCACATCCAGGCACAGCTGAGGCAGTGATTGTTTCCTGTTAGTCTCGATAGCTCTTTGTAAATATTTGTAACATAATACTTACCACCTTATAGTCATTTGTTCACTGATATAGTTCCCAGGCTAGACTACAAAGTCTATAAAGGCATTTTGTTGTTGTTGTTGTTGTTGTTGTTTGAGACGGAGTTTCGTTTTTGTTACCCAGGCTGGAGTGCAATGGTGAGATCTCGGCTCACCGCAACCTCCGCCTCCTGGGTTCAGGCAATTCTCCTGCCTCAGCCTCCTGAATAGCTGGGATTACAGGCACGTGCCACCATGCCCAACTAATTTTTTGTATTTTTAGTAGAGACGGGGTTTCACCATGTTGACCAGGATGGTCTCGATCTCTTGACCTCGTGAACCACCCGCCTTGGCCTCCCAAAGTGCTGGGATTACAGGTGTGAGCCACCGCGCCCGGCCCTGTTGTTGTTTTTGAGACAAAGTCTGGCTCTACTGCCCAGGCTAGAGTGCAGTGGCACTATCTGGGCTCACTGCAATCTCCGCTTCCCAGCTTCAAGTGATTCTCACACCTCAGCCTCCCGAGTAACTGGGATTACAGGCACGTGCCACCATGCCAGGCTAATTTTTGTAGGTTGTTTTTTTAGAAGAGGTGGGGTTTCACTATGCTGTCAGGCTGGTCTCAAACTGCTGATGTCAAATGATCCGCCCACTTCGGCCTCCCAAAGTGCTAGGATCACAGGCCTGAGCCACTGCACCCAGCCCATAAAGACATTTTGTTTTTTCTTTTTATATCCAGAGTTCAGCTAATGTCCAGGTCCTAGAAATACACTATCTGTGGAAAAAATAAGTTTTCATTATGCATGGTTGTATAAATGAATGAACAGTGCACATGTATAAATGAGTAATTCTAAAGTTACTAAAAACCTAAAAACTGAGGACTGTTAGAGTCATTTAAGAAAGGTATAATGTCTGGGTGCGGGGGCTCATGCCTGTAATCCCAGCATTTTGGGCAGCCAAGGTGGGCATATTATCTGAGGCCAGGAGTTTGAGACCAGCCTGGCCAACATGGTGAAACCCTGTCTCTACTAAAATTACAAAAATTAGCCAGGCGTGGTGGTGCACACCTGTAATCTTAGCTACTCAGGAAGTTGAGGCACTGAGAATTGCTTGAACCTCTGAGGTGGAGGTTGCAGTGAGCTGAGATGGCACCACTGACTCCAGCTTGGGTGACAGAGTGAAACTTCATCTCAAAAAAAAAAAAAAAGACTCTCAGATCTCAAGTTCCTCTTTTGCAAAATGAGATAATATCTTGCAGTGTGTATGTGCATGTGTGTGTGTGTATATATATAGAAAGAGAATGTGTATAAACTGTGTGTGTATATATACTGTGTGTGTATACATACACACTGCAAGATATCCCATTTTGCTATATGTGTGTGTGTGTGATATGTATATGTTTTGAGACAGGGTCTTTCTTTGTTGCCCAGGCTGTAGTGCAGCAGCACAATGATGGCTCACTGCAGCCTTAACCTCCTGGGTTCACGTAATCCTCCCACCTCAGCTCCCTGAGTAGCTGGGAATACAGGCACAAGCCACCATGCCTGGTAATTTCTAATTTTTTATGGAGATGGGATGGGGTGGGGGGGCTCTCACTATGTTGCCCAGGCTGGTCTGGAACTTCTAGACTCAAGGGATCCACCCGCCATGGCCTCCCAAAGTGCTGGGATTACAGGAATGAACCACTGTGCCCTGCCTTATCTTGCAGTATTGTTATGAGAATTAGAGATTATCTATACAATCAACACAGTGCTGAGCTCAAATAGGTGCTCAATGAAAGACAGTTCTATTGCTATTTACTATATGTATCCAGGAATAATTAAACTAAACAAGTCCTTATATATGAATTATGACAATTTCTGTATTCATTGAGTTTATTATAATTATTTAGAAAACAGAAAGCAATCTATGACACTCTGATTCATAGCTGGATTTTTTTTCTTTTTTTAAAAGACGGGGTTTTACCATGTTGGTCAGGCTGGTCTTGAACTCCCGACCTCAGGTGATCTGCCAGTCTTGGCCTCCAAAGTGCTTGGATTATAGGCATGAGCCACTACCCCTGGCCCATAGCTGGATTTTTAAAAAAAAATTTAGGCTATTCTTACAAACCTTGAGCAAGTCCCTCAAACTTTGAGTCTTGAGAAGTCCTCAGCTATAAAATTATTAGCTCAACACCCATCCTGTCGATATCATGGGACTCTTAGAAGAACCAAATATGCAAATGATGAGTTTTATAAATTGTAAAGTGCTAAACAAATCCTAATTATTTTTATATCTTCAATCTGAGTGCTTCAACTATAATTATATTTTTAAAAATCATTGCATTAAACCTTAATGCACTTTTGCCCCCTTGTCCATTTTCTAAAGTTTAAAGTGAACTAAAACTTGCCACTTAGTTCAGAAAGCTATCATGAGGCCTGAAGACCTAACGTTTATTATAAATTCAAACATTCAGAGCATTGGGCATTGGCATCAGAGTGACTTATTGTCAGTCATTGCAGAACTTTGACAGGTCAATTAATCACCATCTAACAAGGCTCCTCGATTTCTTTTATAAACTTTGAGAGGTTCTGCTCTGAGTGGTATGCCAGGAGTAAAGTCTTATCCTAAGAGACATAGACATTCCAATTGCCAAGAAGTATTAAAGGCAAAGTGTTATTTATCATACTGTACTCATTATCATAGCTCTGCTCATTGAAAACTCACTGCTGTTGAAGCAGACCTAGAAACTTTTACAACATCAGTGACACATTTCATCAGGTATCTAATGTGTCACTGGCTTTTCCCATAACCTTTCCCTTAGAGACATTAGGGCAAGAGCTGTTCATATGAACAAACTGAGATGGTCCTAGGCAGAATGGGAACACTGACTGTATGTTTACCTGAGGTGGCGAAGTCATGTGGGTTTTTTTGTTGTTGTTTGTTTCTTTTTATGTGGTTTCATAGTCAACAGTTTCTGAACTTAGCTGTACATCAAAATCACCCAGGAATCCACCCCAGAACTATTGAGACAAATAATACGAGGAGAAATCCTAAAAACAGTATTTTGAACAAATTCCAGCTCCTTTTCATGTAATCAACCAAGGCTCTCTGACTGTGGACCACTGAGAATCTCTGGTTC